GGCTGGCAGCATTGCCTGGGATCTCTAGCTCTGACACCCGGTGCCTGACCCATGGGCTGGCTCCTTCCCAGGCTTTTCCCTAGCACCGAGTCCCCTCGGGGGTGAGGCCATCTGGTGAGCTGCCTACCCTCCCAGCATCCCAGACACCCTGGGATTCGCAAGCACACATCACCCCTGTGGCAGCTACTGTCACTACCCGCTCCTCCCCTCCCTCTCAGAACCAACCCTGCCCCCCCCTTTCCACTCACTAGCAGCCCCCCTTCCCCAAAGCCAATTATCATCTGGCCCCTCAGCCCATTCCCTCCCCAGGCCAAATCAATTCTCCCCATTCCCCCCATTTAAAAACATTCTATCCCTTGCACACTCACAATCAGCACCCCCACACTCCTATCCCCCCATAACCAGCCACTCCTCCCAGATACATCAACCTGAACTTCCTCTCCACCTTCAAAACCTGCCCCCGCCTGACATTCCGGTCTCTTCTCTCCCGCAGCAGAGGGGGTGCTCACAATTCCCTCATCGCACACTGGTGGCCCTTGGCAAGGGCAGGGAGCCCTCACTCATTTACTGACTTAGAAATATCTGGGGATTGTATTTTTTAAAAAACCTCTTTCCTTCTTTTCTCCCACTTCTGGGCTGCAGCCCCCTGAGGTGGAGACCAGCCCCTGCTAGGAGACGGCAGCTGACAGCACTGTGGGGGAGGAGATCTGCCGCCCACCAGCAGGGGATCCTGGCCCTGTCAAGGCTGAGAGATGGCTGCTCAGGTCTGGAGGTGGACACTGGCAGCGGCTGCTACAGCTGGCAGGTCCCTATGTGTACGGTGAGAAGAAGGACTGGAGGCTCCTCAGAGTGGAGAACTAAAGAGGGTGGGGCTCTGCCATGCTCTGGCCACAAAATAAGCTGTTTTCCCATGACTCCAGGAGCTGGGGCTTTGAGGAAAACACTTTTTTTTTTTGCAAGACTTATAATAAAATCAGTAGAATTGCCAGCACTGCTAGGGAGGTAAAGAAACAGCTCTCTCTTCCTGACACTCGCCCCACAATACCTCCCCTTTGTTATCATTGACACCTGACACTGCCCTTTGTCTTTCATGATATTCTTCTGGGGAGCATTTGGGCCATTCTAGTTCTTCTGGAAGATGCTGCACAAAGTCAAGGGCTGTGGTACGGTTCAGTTGCTGCCACTGTGACTCAGGTCAGTGCAGGAAGAAAGGGGAAGAATAGATGGGGAATGTTACAAAGAAAAGCTGTTTCCAAGCATTGACTGGGGTGGGGGGAGCAGAAAACTGGAATTGGTGGAAACGTCTCTAGTCTAATACAGTTTCAACTGCTGGCCCGGCCGTGGCTCCCTACCTCCCCAGGGCAGAGCGCCACTTTCCTCTAGAGAGCCAGCACTTGCGATCAATTCATCCTCATGGGCTGGGGCAAGAGGAGCCGTGCTGCTCTGCCCCTATTACTAATTTTTCACTGCAGGTTCTTTTGCCTCTGGCCTGGGAATCTCTCGGGACAACGAAGGTCTGGTTTGTGGCTCACCTTTCACCAACCCCGGCTGGATTTCAGGGCTGGCCCACCCCCACTGCTCTGACATTGAGTCACCCTTTAGGTGATGCTCTCAACAGAGAGTGACCATCTGGCTCCCGGCCTCTCCTATGTCAAGCCAACGGGCTGCAGCCGCTTCTACTGTTTGTCCAATGCCAAAGGTTTCTGGGTGAGCTACGCTTTGAATTGACACCTCCTGGTGATCCCTTCTTTAATCCTATCCTTCACGGCTCTTTCTGTTCCGGTGATACAGAAAGTCACGGCTGCCCTGCAGGTGACTTGGGATTATTAGTGGTGATGGTGATGCTTTGTACTTAGCCCAGTACCCTCCAAGGAGCTTTGCGGGCCAGAACTCTCCTCCCACCTCCCAGAGGATGGTGAGAATCACTCTGATCATGTCAAAGATGGAAGAACTGAAGCCCAGAGAGACTCTCCCTGCCTGAGGTCCCTTTGGGGCCAGGATTGGCCTGGGTTTCTGAACCCCTTCCTGGGTGTTTGTAGCCTTGGGCAGCTGGTTCCTTTTGGGGACTCCTTTCAAAGCCAGAACACAGGGAAAAAAGAAGAACAGGAGTACTTGTGGCACCTTAGAGACTAACAAATTTATTAGAGAACATAA